CAAGCAGTCAGAAAGCCTTCTCTGGTATCTAACCTCACTCCACTGCAGGCTCCAACTGTCTCCCCAGTACCATCCCACATCTTCCTGGGCCCCTCTTCTGGAAAGGCAGAAGCAACGTGCAATTGACTTCAGAGACTCTCAGAATATCAGTGCAGGAAGGGCTCGCAGATCAGCAACTCAACTTCCCAAAGTGACAGAGGACAGTGAGGCCACAGATCAAGGAGATCTGTCCAACATCATCTGGAAGGGAGGCAGGGGAGCTAAGGCTTAGCTCAGGTCTTCTGGCTCTCCATCTGCCTCCCACTAAAAAAGAAGAAAAAACAAACAAACAAACAAACAGGAGAAACCTTGAGGGCTGTTCCTGCACTTAATGAGAGATGGGGCGAGGAGCCAAACTTTGCATTAAGGATGCAGGGATCTAGACGGGGCACCCCGTTGGCCTCCAGAACACCAGAGTCCAGGAGCACCAGTGAGAACGGGGCTGAGTGGTTGGAACCCCCAGAAATCTTGAGGCAGACCGGGCCTCTGATGGACCTTAAGCCTAGGGGGTGCAGAGAGTCCTGGTGCAAGGCACGAGCATCTCTCACTGGTGAAGAGAGAGTTACTCGCTCATCTCAGACGGCTATCTGGAAGAGAAACAGACTCACTTCTCCCAGCCCCACCATTTCCAGGAAACACTGGGGCACCAAGCGAGAAGCAGTTAAAAGGCGCATTAATCGCAAAGCCTGCAGCTGTCGCTGGGACTGCTCACTCCACACCTGGGGTGGACAGCAGGGGCCCCAGGGCAGGGGCTCTGCCTCCACCCCCCCCCCCCCCCACCAACCCACCGCAAGTACAACGCAGCCCTGAGCCTCCAGCGGGGTGCCCTGCCCACCTGGCCACTTGCCATAATCCTCCACCCCAGCTGGGGTTCACACACCTGCTGCCCAGCGTCTCAAGACATACCCCCTCCGCAGACCGCCAGGCGGCCGGGGGCTGTGTTTGACTCTGACCGGGGCCACAGCCTTCCTCCCGGCGCGGTCAACCCTTCTCCGAGGAGTCCCAGAGCCCACTGAGGCCTTCCGGGGAGGCTGGTGACATCCACAGGCAGGCTGCCGGGCCCCACGACCCCGTCCACATGATTCCTGTCCACACAGCCCTTATTCCAAGCGTAGGCCGGGTCTACACACATCAGAACCATTTGACATGCGTCCCAAATCCTGGTTCCCGGGTTGCCCTACAGAATCCAAACCCTTCAGTGGCGGGGGGCAGGGGCGAAGCCTTGGAGCTCTGCATTTTAATATATTCCCTTGGTATTTTGGATACGACTGAAAGTTGGAGAACTACTTTTTCTCACCGTGTCCCCGGTCCGGCTACACTCATTTCTGCTGCAAACCTGACAGCTGTTACAGCTGTGTGTGTGGACACAGTTAATCTGATTTCCTGTCTGGCAGCTGTGCAGCAGGGAAGGGACAGCTGAGGGTCTCAAAAACAAGAAGAGGTGATGAAGTCGGAGGGGCTGGGGGGGCGGGGCGGGGGAGGGGAGGCTGTCTGAATGCTATGGAGTGTTCAACTTTGTTCCTGAGCCCGCTTCTCTCCTGAAATCCCTGCAGGGAGGGGGAGAGCTGCCCAAGTGGCTCCCCACTACTCACAGAGAACAAAGTCTCCTCTCAGAAACCTCAGAAGTCCCCCCAAAGCCAGACTGGTCTCTTACTCTCCAGGAGCACAAACTGGAGAGGCACAAAGGCAGGTTGTGTATACACGCTGTGTATACAAAGAGCAACCAACTTAAAAGGGCAAGTTGGGGCTGAAATCTAGCCCACGCTCCAATTGCTAAGCCACGTGCCCTGGCATGAAGATGTATCCACCTGGAAGAAGGGCCCCCTCTAAAAAAAGGTGCACAAAGGAACGCTTGTGTGGGTTGGCCGCAGCCCTTCACAGAGACCTGAATCTGAATCCCAGCTGTCACTTACTCTGTGACCTTGGGCGAGTTCCTTAACCTCTCTGATCTTTCTCAATCGTACAACATGGCTAATGATATCTTCCTAAAAGAGACGAGGCAAGGAAAGCACCTGATACTCTTGTCACTTAGTGCATTATAATATTAGTTCCCTTCCCACCTGAGCCTCGCCCTTCCTACCTTCCCCGCACCCCTACACCTACACACCCACACACCCAGCCAAGCTGGGAATGGCCTGAAGAACGTGAATAAGAATATCCAGGGGAAACCCCAATACCAAACCCCAACCCCATGGCACTTCCCAGCATTCAGAGCATCCCTTCCTGGCACAGGCAGGATTCACACCCTCCCTCACTGGGTAAAGGAGAGTCCTCTTCCATGCCTGCTCAGAAAATCCGGCACGATGCCCAAGCATCAGCTCTGTCCAGTCCAGGCCACAGGGGAATCCAGAGCCCACAGAAGGGTGACGGGGGATCCCCCAGAACCGCATCTTTGGGAATCCCACACAGGGGTGCAAGCTCCAAGGCTCCCCAAGCTGCAACCAGGCCTGAGTGAGGGGAGTGCCCACTGTGGGCTGGGCTATTGTAGAGGGGCCAGGCAGAGACCGCGCCCATCAAGGAAGACCTCTGATGGCACCATTGGCAACTGCAATCTGTGCCCCTCATCAAGCAGCAACAGCAAAGAGTGCCCTGCATCCCCCGGGAGCACCCCCTGCCAAGGCTCTGGCTCTCCCATGGGGGCAACTCACCGTATCTGTCTACTCACCCAGAGGGCCAAGCCCCAGAATAGAACCCAGGAATCCTGACATCAGCTCTGGACACCAGCCCTTCAAGCAACATTCATTCACCCATGTGCCAGGCACTGTGCTAAGTGACGGGGAACAAGACAGCCCACGGAGCGAAGGATAGCCCTAAAATAGGGTTCCCAAGATTTGCCACTGGAGTAGGCAGAGTCCAGGGTAGACAGCTACCCCGGAAAGTCCTCTTCCCCAATCCGTCGGGCTGGGGAGGCCTGGCGACACACACTGCCCAAGAAGCGTCCCTGGACACCTGCTTTTTTAGCCACAGGCTTTTGCATCCTGTCTGGAGACTGATCAAGAGATGGGGAGAGGAGGCGGGAGGGGGTGGGGGTGGGGGAACACCAGGCTGCCTGGGCCCTCATGGCCGTGTTTATCCGGGGTGGATTTTTTTTAACCCAAAGGTTAAAGCGTTTCTATTTGAAACATCTATTTACATTCCAGAGTCCAAAAAAAAAAAAAAAACAAGGCAGCCGAGCTCCAGGCCTATATCTGTCCCCAGCCGCGTCACAGACACAGCATCAGAGCTGCGCAGGGGGAACATTCTTAGCCCTCTCCCCGAGCCGCTGAGGTGACTCACACCTCCCTCCTGCCAGCATGGACCACACCACCGATCAGAAGGCCAGGCAGTGCGCGTGTGGCGGGGGCACAGGGATCTAGAGAGAGATGCTGGCAGGGGGTGGGGGGGGTCTATGCAAGGACAGGAGGCTCAGGGAAGGGATAAGAGTAGCAGGGTTCCAGCCCGCAAGGATTCTGAGGTCTAACTTGAAAGAAGGTAAGAGAACATGCTGAGGAGGAAACTTCAGGCCAACCGCCAGCTGCTGCTGGGAAGCAAGGGACAGCGGGAGAAGGGCAGGATGGGTGGACCGATATGGCATCTGCCTGCAAGCAATGCTCTACACAGTCAGTCCTCTGCTCTCCAAGAGACCAGCTCGACTCCTGGGGGCTTCAGGCCGGGTCTTCAGTTAGAGCCGCCGGCTCAACCAGACCAGGGTTAGAGCGCTCCTCTGTTCATACTCCCTCCCAGTGTAGGTCCTCTGCACGGCCAGCCCCCAGGGTCATGCCCCCAACCCAGGGGCCTGCGTGGGCACCCTGCAGGGTTGGTTCCCAGGGTTATGCCCCTTCCCTAGGAAACACTGCGGGCATCACTGCCCAGGCAGATGGCAGGCCTTATCCCAAAGATTTTCCAAAACTTCCCAAAACATTCATCCTCTCACGTATCCTAGTTCAGCTGCAACCTCATCCTTGGACAGCTTAGAGCCAAATCACAGGTACCCACGGAGGCACACAGCTCCCACCTTCCAATTCAAAGCCTGGGACCCACACCCACCTATCCAAAGGCAAAGACTCCTGATACATATGCACACAGACACCCACACCCAAGCACCAAGGCACTGCCAGGAGGGGCCAAGCGGGCATGGGGCCAGCAGGCCCCTCCCTAGAAGAAGCATCTTGTGGTGCCGGCCTGGTGGGAAGGCTGTGCCAGAAAGGCCTCATGCTGCCAACAGGTTCCTGAGAGGGAGGGAGGGAGTGGCCCAGCTCTGGGGGACCCCACCCCCCGGCAAGAGCCAAAAATGTCCCTGCTGATAAAGTGGCAGTCCTAGGGGGTCCTCAAGCCCATAAGAATCAGAGTGACACGCCTTCGCCGTCATGAGATGGGATGAAATCAAGGCCAGACGGAAGGAGAGATGGGGAGCTAAGGAAGTCAAGACCCCCGACACCCCAAAGCTGCCAGCCTCTACCCAACCCTACCACAACTGCCTCGCATCTGGGGAACTCCTGACTGGGGACTTGCAGAAGTCACCGCCCCCAAGAACTCAGTCACAGGAGCTGGGGTGGCCTTTACTCTCGTGAACACTCAGCCATGGCTCATGCCCCTGTCCAGACCTGGGGAGCAGGCCGCTGGGAGGCAGGTCACTGACCCACTTCCTCCCCTCTGACCACAGTGCCAACTAGGCCAGGATCCTCCAGTACTCCACAGCCCCCAGCAGCTTACGCCGACCCTGCCACCCTGCCGGAGGCCAAAGAGACTCCAGAATGCAGCAGAGTGCAGCTGGAGGGCACGGCGGGAAGGCAGGTTTGGGCCAGGGAGGGCAGGGGAGCCGACTTCAGTGAGCACGGCTCCCCTGATGACACATTCTCAACAAAGCCCTCCGAAAACATCTAAGCAGGACCCCGTCTGGGCGATGCTTGGAGCCAGGTGCTCAGCCCCAGGGACAAGGATGCCCAATGGCAGAGGGCAGGCGGGGACAGCAAAGCACTTACCTGCCACAGGGATGCCGTGTAGAGGGGTCCGAGGCAGGATTTCCAAGGATGGTTCCCGGCCTGACATCCCATCTGCTGAGAAACAGGATTCCGTCTCATAGATGGTCTGCAGCATCTCCACGAGCCCCTGAGCCTTGGGCACCAGCAGCATGCCAGGGAGGGGGCCGCCAGAGGCGGGAGGCGGCCAGAGGGAAGGTGGTCGGGCGGGGCCCTCACTGCTCAGGGGCTCCCCTAGGCCACTGCTGCTGGGACCCGTGCTGTGGGGAGGTGCCTCATCCGGCCCGGGCACTCCTGGCGGCAGGAGGAGCCAGGAGGCTCTGGAGCTACAGGCCCGGTTCTCCTCTAGAGGGGCATGGGACCACTGGCCTTTCCCCAGCTCCCAGGAGCCGGGGTATGGCTGGGCGCTCAGGGGACAGGAAGGGGAGCTCAGCAGGCAGGCGGGCTCTCTGTGTTCCCTCCCAGCCCTGGGTGACAGCTCTGGGCCTGGCTCCCTGCTCCTCCTTCCCGAATGAGCCGCCGGCAGCTGGCAGGAGACTGAAATAGCAGTTGGGGGAGGGCCCTGTCTATAAATAGGTGGAGCATGCTCAGGGAGCCGCCGGCCGGCTGCCAGGAGCCCGGGCCTGGCGGAGGCCCCATGGGGGGGGGGGGGGGAGGCGCGTTCCACCCCAGGAGGAAGCGCCAGGCAGGGGGATGGGAACAGGGGAGGGCCTGCACTCAGGGCCAAGGCCACAGAACCGGGTGGCCAGAGGCTGAGCTGGAGAAGGGCACAGGCCAGAGGACCCATGTGTTCAGGAGCCGCTCTGGCACTATTCTTGGCAGGCGAGGGGCTGGAGACCAAAAAGCCAGATTCCATCTCTATGTTCCCTCTTGCCATCAGAGCAGGTAAAGAAACCAGAAGGGTCTGGGAGAGGGTGGCAGACAGGGCCACCTGGCCTAACCTCACATCTTCCCTGGAGTCCTTCTAACAGCCAGATGGGAGTTGATTTAACTTCCGCCCTCCCTCGGAGCTGGAAGGTGCCTCCCCACCCCCTCAACCAGCAGGGAGACCCCTGAGCAGCAGCTAAATGGCAGCTCCCTCCTACCCACTAGGGGTGTCGCCTCCATGGGCTGCTCCACTTCCTTCTAGGGGGCAGGGAGAGTTCCTCGATAGGCCTTGCCGCATCCATGGAAGGGAGCGGGTGGGGGGGGGGCAGGGGCACCTGCCCACTCTGGGCACACGGAGCTCCTCCCTGGCTATGTACCAGGTGCAATGCTAACGGCAGCACATACATCACCTCGTTTACTCTGCACGATGACCTCACGAGATAGGTGCAGATGGGGAAACTGAGGCAGAGATGAAGTCACTCACTCTAGGTCATACAGCTGCTTAAATGGTAAGGCCGGGATGTGTGAGGCTCCAGTCTGAGTGCTAACCACCACAGCCCACTGCCTCCTACACAAAGGAACACATGAAGCTGCCCCAGGGTTTCCATTCACAGGTACGATGACCCCCAGTACCCAGGGAGGAAGACACGTGAGGACAGAGCCCCTCTAAGAAGACTCCAGAGGCTGCCAAGACCCAGCCCTTCCCGACCGGCTCCAGGCCTGGCACGGCAGCCCATGCTCCTGGGGCCTTACTGGGACCTAGGGCTAGTGCACACGAGGACCTGTGACACCCGCCTACCCTGCTCACTGCTGGCTCATCCCTTCTCCTCGGGTTATACCTCCCACTGGTACAGAGATCCCACTTGGCCCCCTGACCTCACTGGAGCCTTTTAATAGCCTGGTTATTCCTGGGTCTCGGTCCCCCTCCCCCTTCCTGATGTCACGGTTGCTATTTTGGAGCCCCCTCCTGGCCCCTCCTTGCCCCCAACTCCAGGCACGGAGCCAGGGACACCTGTCCTCTCCCTGGACTGGATGACCTCACCCTCCTGTCAGGAGCCCTGAAAGAGCTGGCCAACCAAGGACATGGTAGCCGTGGCTCCTGCAGCCCGGTATTCTAGCCAGCTTCTGCCAAGCAGGGATGACAGCAGAGGGGCCTCCTGCCCTCAGGTGGGGGAACCATATAGACAGGGAGGTGGCAGAAATGGGCTTTCCCAGGCACTAGACGAGCTGATCTCACACAATAAGACGGACACTGGGGTGGAGGGCGGGAAACAGGACCCGAACAAAGATCTGGAGCTTCAGCTTCTCTGCCAAGGCAGACTCTAAAAAAATGGTGATGCGGCAGCGCTCCCCGCAGGGGTTTGGCGTTGGCAGACATCTCAGGGTGGGTCTGGGGACCTCATTCACCACCTCCTGCCCTAACCTCATCCTGGCCAACCAGACTCTCTAAAGAGGAAGGGAAGCAAAGACCCAAAGTCCCCTCAGTGAGGGGATGGGCAGCAGACTCAAGGCAGCCCAGAGAGCCAGGGGCAGGAGCCCCTCCCAGCTCAGGACTCCACCCACCCACGCTGGGAGCAACCAGAAGGGCTGGCTAGCCCTGTCCTGGCTCTCTCTGCCTGCCCCAGGCACAGGAGAATATGGTCGGGGAGCCCTGTTCTGGAGGAAAGGAGGTCCTCAAAAGCAGAGCCCCCAGAACTTGGAGCAGCCAGAAACCTAAGGAAAGACAACTCCTTGCATAGGAAAGATACAAGCACCCAGGAGACTGGGCAACCAGAGGTGGCCACAGCCTGGGGCTCGGGGCAGTTCCCAGCACTGTTAGGACTTCCTGTAACAGCACGAAGTGGGAAGGAAAGCGTCAGACAACCAGACAATCCTCAACGCACTTCCCAGAATCCTCCGGGGGAGCTGGAGACGAGGCCTGGGGTGAGAACAAGTGTCTTTTCTCCTTCTGAGATTCAGGTGATGCAATAAGGTCTTCCTCATGTCCAACCCTCAACGTTTCCCACTCTACAGCCCCTCTCCTCGTGGTTCATTTCTCTGTCTCCAGGCATCCAGCCCCCCCCATGTGTCATCCCACAAACCTCACAGAGCACCCACCAAGCCTAGGGTGCGTGAACGCCATTGGCAGCTGGCACCATCCCCTCCAGACCACAACGATATCATTCCCTCCCTCAGAGGCCGGCCTCAGGCCTCCTAACCTTCCAAATCTAGAGGAGGGGAAGAGGCCATTGCTGGCTCCTTGAGTTCCTCCAGGCTCCCATTTCCTGGGCACAAAAGGTTGGGGTAGTGCCCTGACCTAAGAGAAGAAAGCAAATCTTATTCATGCACAGTGAAAACCCGAGGGCTGGCTCAGGAGCACCCTGGATCGAGGGAGGGTACCAGGTGCCCTGCGGCCCTGGGGACATCAGGCTGGCCTGCCCTCCAGCTTTCTCCTGCCCTTTGAGCCCCTATCATGCTGGAGCCCGTCAGCCCATGGCATCAGACAGAGCTGCGTGTGCCAGGTTCCACGCTAAGTGCTGGCTGAAGCCTCCCATTTGAAACCAAGTCCCGGAAAAACGTGAACACCTACTTTGGCAGCTTTCACACCCCCTCAGGGTTGACCCTGTCGTCCCATCTGAGCCTTCAATCCCTTTCGACTGATGAAGCAGGGAAGAGGAGGGCGGAGCAGATCCCAATCTACAGTAAGCACAGGTGTGCCAGGGGGCATCTAAGTAGAGAGTCCACTTCCCAGACCCCAGGCCCACACCCATACTGACCCACTTTCTCCTTCTCGGGGCTGGGTGCCTGCCTCCCCTTAAGGGGGGGGGGGGGCGTCAGAGGCAGAGCCTGAGCCCGAGGCTGGGAGGCAGGACGCCGAGGTTCCTGGCTCCACCCCACACCCATGCCCCAGTTTCTCTGGTCACCCGGAGGGGGCAGCTGCCTTCCCTCCCTCCTTCCTGGGAAAGGGAAGGAGAGAAAGTGTGGAGTGTGTTGGGAGGTGCTGGCCAGGCAGGTGTTGTCATGAAGCTTGTCTCCCCTCCCACGCTGGGGATAAGGAACCTGGCCGCCTCCTCCTGGGGCCCTGCCGCCATCCAGACTGGCTCCCACGGCGGGCCTCACTCTTGCCCTCCCTTCTGGGCAACGGCACAGAGGACGGGGCAGGGACCAGAGCAGGCCTCGGTCCCAGGTCCCAGGTGCCAGGGCATCTCCTCCAACCTGGCCTGTCTGAGCCCAGACAGGCGGCAGGTTCTGTCAGTCCTTCAACCCCACTGAGGGGAGCGGAAGCGACCAGTTCCAGAAAAATAAAGAAAACCTCGATCCTTGAGCCCCCTTTGGCCCGAAGAGAAGCCAAACACCAGGGAGTGGCCTCCTCAGGGAAGCAGGCGGCCCCATCGATGGCCTCTGCCTGTACTCCCAAGACGGCAAAAGAGGCAAATCAGGTCAAATGCTGGCGTTCAGCCCAGCCCAGAGGTAAGTCAATCAGCTCCTACCCCCGGGGGAGGAGGGGTGAGCCCCAGAAGCAAACTGCTCCCTCTGCCTGCCGCCCCTCACCCAGGAGACTCTCTCCCACTAACTCGTTTGTTAGGAGGGCAGGGATGGACCATCTTCTGTTTTCCTTCTGTGTCCCCTCCGCAGGCTGAGCTCAGGGTTGGGCACGCTGGGGATACTCAGCAAGCACTGGTCAAATAGGAAAGCTCCCACCCTGAGAGAGTGGAGGGAACCAAGGAACAGTGCTGTTCTGTGCCCTAAGGAGAGAGGAGGGAGTCTTCGGGGATTCAGGAGAGGGGGAGGGGTGCTCAGGGGCCAGGGCACCCAGGTCCCGGGCACTACCCGTTCTCATCATTCCTACCTCTGTCCCCAGCCCCAGGGCCCCACACTCTTTCTGGGGCTCCCTTCAGAGTGTCCACAGGCCAAGTGGACACCCACCCGCCCAGCTACAGTTTCATTTTACTTCTGCGGAGCCAAAGGCACGTGCTTTCCAGGCCCGTGCCAGGCACAGGCACCAGGAGCCCCAGCCCAGATACCACTCTGAGCCCTGGGAACAGGAGACGCGGGGGCCCCTCAAAAAGGAAGAGCTGTGTGGAGGCGAGCCATCCCCCCCACCCCCCGCCCCCGGCCCAGAGCAGCTCTTCCTCCGCAAGGAGAGGCAGCCCCGGAGCCCCAGGAAAACTGGACGGGAAGAGCCTCCGGGCGACGATCCCCAGCTCTGAGGCCTCTCCACAGTCCTGAAATGTGGTTCCCAGCCTCTTGGCCCCCTCCTCCTCTAACTCCTTCCCAAACATGAGAAGACAGCATCTCCCCCTGCTGGGGGGATCTGGAAAACCAGCCAGGAGGTGAGGCCAGCTCTCCAGGCCCCAGAGGCCCCTCCTGGCCAGGCTCAGCTGCCACTCCCAGGCTGCCTGCCTCCTGCGCTGGTGGACACCTCCATCGACCACCACACTCCTACCAGCCCCGGCAGAACCAGCTGCCAGGGGAACCTGGGCCACCAGCATCTGGCAAGGCAACCTAGTGACCGCATCTAGCCAAGGGTGATGTTTTTTAGCCTTTCGCCGTAAGGGAATAAAATCCCAAAGCCGGGAAATGTCCTTCCCAAGCCACAGCCAGATGCCTCCGGGCAGTTTCTGTTCCCTTGACCAAGGGTTTGACCCAGGCTCGGTGTGACTGCAGGTGGCGCCTAGATAGGTCAGCACAGTAGCTCAGAGGAAAGGAGCAGCTGGGCCCCGCTGCTGGGCACAAGCGACCAGGGCACAAGCGACCATGCCGCAGCAGGGCCCAGCTGAGGTGGGCCCGGGACTGTGGAGAACCCACCAGGCCTCTCCCTTCCCTTGGCCAGCCCCACCTCAGAGGAGGAAGCAGGAAGTCAGAGCCTCCCCCAGCACCAGAGTCACCCAGACCTCTCCACGTCTAACTCCCGCCACAGCCCCCAAAGGTTGAATGAAGGCAAAGACAGAGACTAGAGGCTCCAAAGGGGAAACAAAAACCCCGCAGGAGGGGGCTCAGCAGGCAAAGCTGATGTGGGGAGTCTTAGGAGTACAGCTCTCACCAGCCGGGGCCCTACTCTGCCAGCGGCCCATGCCCTGAGTATGTCATGTTGGAAAGGGGAAGGGGCACAACCTTGACCAAAACAAACGGCGCAAAGCCAAACAATCCCCCCAGCTGCCAGCTTCCCTAAGTCTACAGAACCCCCGGGACCCTGGTCAGGACCTCTGCCACAGAGCGCCAGCACTGGGTCCCCACAACAGAAAGCCAAGGTCCAGGGCGCCTGGGTGGCTCAGCTGGTTAAGCATCCGACTTCGGCTCAGGTCATGATCTCACAGTTTGTGAGTTCGAGTCCCGCATCAGGGTCTGTGCAGACAGCTCAGAGCCTGGAGCCTGCTTCTGATTCTGTCTCCCTCTCTCTCTGCCCCTCCCCCACTTGTACTATGTCTCTCTCTCAAAAATAAACATTAAAAAAACCATCTTTTTAGGGGTGCCTGGGTGGCTCCGTAGGTTGAGCACCCAACCTTGGCTCAGGTCATGATCTCACGATTCATGGGTTCAAGCCCCTCATCGGGCTCTGTGCTGACAGCTCAGAGCCTAGAGCCTCCTTTGGACTCTGTGTCTCCCTCTCTCTCTCTGCCTCTTCCCCGCTTGTGTGCGCTCTCTCTCTCTCTCTCTCTCTCTCTCTCTCTCTCAGAAACAAATAAACAAAATAAACATAAAAAAATTTTTTTTTTTCTTTAAGAAAGCATCAGGTCCAGCAAATCAATGATCAGCAATGAGATGGGAGAAGCCTTGGATCCTGATGCTGCTTCCATCCTGCAAATGGGTTTTCATCTCTAGGCCCTAGTTGTCTTGCCTCTACAAGATGGGGAAATATCCCTCTACCCCTACGGAAAAATGTGTGGGGGACAGGCTGGGCTGGGGTGGGGGGGGGGCGGTAAAATGGAACATGATGGACTCTGACCCTCTAAGACTGTGCCGAAGGAGACAGCCAGGGAAAGAAGGTAGTTATTACTCTGACCACACTGACCCATGACCCTCCTGTGAAACTCCTGAGGGTCCAGCTCGGGCCACTTGGACACATCCTCATGGGCATACACCCAGACCCACCCATCCATAAATCTGCCTGGAGACTCACCCATAGACTATTTCTGGCAGTACTAGGCAGCCTCCTAGGAGCAAAGGGGACTAGGAAATTGCAGGGCCAAAGACCCCAAATTAGGAACCCACCATGTCCAGGGCCCAAGAAGAGAGGGGGTACCCAGACTCAAAGGAGAAAGCCAAGACTCCTCTACCAACGCATCACTGCGCCCCTCCATCCCGGTACCACACATCCCAGCAAAGGCTAAGGCCAAAGGCCCTGCGAACCTCCACTAAGAAAAAAACAAGGAACACAGAGAAACTCTCCACCAGGAGGAGAAACACCACCACAAAAAAGGCAGCTGCATTCGGCTGCTGTAGGAAATCTTCCAGTATCATCCTCAGATGGCCCAGAGACATTCAGGGATACATGTCTCCTTCTCAGGCCTGCCTGTCTTGGCAAACAGGGCAGGGCAGAAGGGGGACTGGAGGCTCCCTAGTTGAGAAGGTAAGCATGGGGACAGAGTTGGACCCATGTCCTCCCAGGGCCAGGCTGTACTGTCAGCTCATCAATTTCTAGCTCTACCCCATGGTCAATAACTTCAGGTTTGCCTCGGTCTTTTTCTCCAAAGGCTTCTCCATTCCTGACCCCCCCTTGTTCCTTTACAGCTCAGACCCCAAAGGTCAGCTGGCCTTGGCTGGAAACTCACACAAGCTCATTTAGCCAAAACCACCCCAGGGTGCCCTTCTCTGGCCTCCCAGCTCTTACCCGACTCGGTGGGAGAGTTCATGCCGGCTCTGGGCCCACAGGAAGCTGGCGTTGGGGGCTGGGACGGGAGGGGGTGGAGCTGCGGTGATGTCAAGAGAGACAGACGAAAACAGACAGACGGACGGGACAGGAGCCCGGGGCCGCTGTGCCTCTAATGCCCATCAGAGGCCATCCTTCGGGGCGAGGCAGTCAGGCACTCAGAACGGCATCCCTAGGGAGAGACGGAGCAGGGTTAGAGGCCCCCAACTCAGGAATGAGAGTTGAAGGAGACCTCAGGGCTTGTGAGTTTACACCTGGGGAAGAGAAGGAGGGACATCTGCCCCAGGGGCCCAGAGGAAATCAGCAAAAACAGCCAGACCCTCGCTTCTTCTCTAACCGGTGAGGCTGCCAGCACTCGAGGAAAGGGAAATGGCTACAGAAGCCACACCCAAACTCCTTTTCAGGTGACAGTGCCCACTACCAGGTGGGGAGACCTTACAGACTCGTTCGCTCGGGGGGGCCTGATGTGGGACTGGGTGTACACGAAAGGAAAAAAGTGCAGGGAGGCTTTGAACCGTCTACGGCGGTGGGGCGAGGCAGGCTGATCTGGAGTCTCTGGCAAAAGTTACGGGAGAAACTGGTACCCCAGCCCCAGAAGGCGGAGCTGGGATCGGAACGCAGTCACTTTCTCCCTCCTCTCTGACCCTCGTGTCACCCGACTCTGGAATCGTGAAGGGTTTCTGTCTTGGTCTCCCCCATTCAGCAACAGGTCCGGCAAAGAGGGTAGCCGCCTCTTCTACCCATAACCCGTGCTGTTTCCAGGGATTTGGAAAAGCAGACACACGCACCCCACATCTAGCACTCCCCAGACTAGGGTCCAGGGCCCAAACCCAGGGCTTTGCGTGACCAACCTGTTCTCTGCCTGCCAAGCAATGAGTCAGCCAGGCTGAGACCACCCAGAATAAGGGACACCTTCTTTCCAGTTTGTACCAAGGCACCAAAGACCCCAATAACAGGTATGCCCAGACCAACACAATAATGGAGGATAGCCCAGTATTACAGGACCGTGAGTTTTCCAACCTGGCCTCACTCCTTCAGCAACTCGCCACCCCCCTTCCAGCCCCACAGGTACTCTTCAAGCCTCAGACGCTACACAGGCACCCACCTGGGCCCATCCCTAAACAGCCCATGATCCACCCCAGACATGATCTCATCCATCTGATCCAAATGAAGGCAGGTCTTCCAATACCCAGTGAAAACTAGGTAGCTGAGTGATCCAGTGAGGCTGAAAGGAGGTATATGTTTAAGCCCTCACCTGGTTCCCCCAGCCAGGGACAAGCAACCAGCCCTCCCCCCTGGACAGCCCCACCTCCTGGCAGGATTAATTCTCAGTAAGCCCTGCACTGTCATCAAGGATTCCAGGAGAGGGGTCCACTTGGAGCCAGTAGCCAGGGAGTCAGGCATGGCCCGGACACAGGAAACACACACACACACACACACACACACACACACACACACACACACAGAAGACCTCAAGTCTTCCTAAGCCTGCTGTCCCCTGCTTTCATCCACAAGCTTTGCACTCTATAGCTGGAGAAAGGTGCACTCAGATGGGGAGTTAGGATGAGGCAGAGTAAAGGGGCTGAATTGTTCTCAGCAGGCACAGATGTGGGGCAAGGACAAAAGAGGCTGCACAGGGCTCAGGCCAAGCTCAGGAATGTAGCAGGTGGGGCTGTTGGTGCCCTGGCCGGGCCCGCGTGGGCAGGCAGCTCAGCCCGTGCCCACCCCAGGGCTGGCGCCCAGTCCTGTTCACACCCTTTCCCGTGGGCTGGGGAACACACGTTCAGAAATTCCCACGATTCCCAGCAGCCCGAGTGGCCCAGCCCATCTCGGCACCTCCATAGCAGGGCACACTCAGAAGGGGCAGGACCTCAACGGTACAAAACCTAAGTTAAGATCAACTTTGAGTCCCCCCCCTTCCCCGCCCCGCCCCCGCCCCCATCCCTCTGTCAAGCCTCCTCCTGAGTGAACAGGGGCCTCCCTGGGAAACAAAGCAGAGTTCACTGCCTGATCCGGACAGGCAAAGATTCTTGTCTGGGGTGGGGCATGAAAGGGAAAAAGGACAGGGGAATGGTTAAAACCTGGCTCTTTGGTCCTTCCTCTGCTGCAAAAACTCCACTGTTGGCTATAGTTATACGAGGGTCTCGGTGGGCAGTGAGGGACCGAGAGAGGTGTCACTTCTGGGTAACAGAACACTTTGATGCCTGACCAGTGAGCAGCCTGGCTTCTGTGACATCAGCAGCAGGCAGACCCCCAGAGCCCAGTCTCCAGCCCATCAACTCTCTCTTGTAGTGAGACCTCTGTCCCACTCCAGGATCCAAACCCACCTCCCACCTCCAGCCAGGATGGCAGGGCGTGGGATGAGGGAAACCGGCCCCGCCTCACCCCACAAGCTCATGGCTAAACCAGGGGAGGTAGGGCAAAGACTCCCCCACCCCATTCATGAGTAATAAAAACTCTGGCAGAGGGTGGGAGGAGAAGGGCAGACAAATAAGGGAGGCATGGAACAATGTAATGACCCCAAGGCCACAAGTTCACAGGGCTGCCCTGCAGGGATCTGTCCCTCAAACAACCCCCTCAGAATTCCTGGGGAGGCAGGTGTCCCTTCAACAGCCTCTCTGGAACCTGGACTCCAGCACCAACAGGCAGCCTTCTCCCAGGTCCTGAGCACTGCAGCCTGGGGTCCCCTCCCCAGGTCACAGACAGTTGGGTGGAGCTGTCTGAACCAAACCCTGTGAACCTGAGATTACCCAGAATCTGAGATCAGTTGCAAAGACCTCATCAGGAAGCTGCAAGCCCAGACATCCCATCCCGCGGGCACAAAAGACCTATGATCTTGACCCCTGCTGACTGTGGCCCTGGCAGATCACTTTCCCCAGCCTCCAAGAGCTCCCTCCACCTTGTGCCTCCCCCAAGCTGGGCCACCAGAAACCCAGGATTATCAGAGCCAGGAGGGGTGGCTGACTTGGATCTCTAGGCCCCAAACTAAGGGAAGGGGGAGAGAACAGGAAAGGAAAAAAGGCACCAGGCTGACAAATTCATTTTTGCAATCGGCCCATTTCTGTTTGTCTGCTCAGACGCAGCTCCAGGCATCTGCACAAGCCAGATGGAGGAGGCTGCTATTTCTAGAAAAAAAAAAGGGGGGGGGGAATGAGAGGGGAGGGAGGGAGGAGGTGGAGGCAGAGGGCAGAAGACCGGGTCTGTTTGCCCTAAAACCTCAGGCAGACCGATACCCCCCTCCCCAGCACTACCAGACAGGGTCCTCATTCAAGAAAGGGCTGAGGCGGGGGCTGGGGTGAGGTGGGGTAGGGGAGAAGAAAGGCAGAGAAAGTTTAATTAGCCAAAGTCGACTACAATAGGCCCCCTCATGGGCTGCATCAGGTTTTCATTCATGAGCAAGCGACAGTGCTCCAAAAATGCCAAGAACCGCCCCCCCTCGCAGTCTCTCCCCCACCCCCCCCCAACAGGAGTGCGTCCTCTAGCAGGCTGGCTGAGCCTGATGCCGTGTTCCAGACATCCCTCCTCAAAGGGATGTGAGTAGGAAGAATTAATTATTAAAGAGCAGCTGGTATTTCGGCACCGACTGCACTCCCCCCAGCTCCTATAGCTGATCCCCCTCCCCCTTAGGCAGAAACACAAACCACACCACCCCCCATCCCCAGGCCCCATTTCTAAACACATAGCTAAGATGCCACCCCTAGGGAAAGGAAAGCAAACCTTTGTCTCTGCTGCTACTTGGAGTGGGTGGGGCATGTGATACCGCTGCCCCCCACCTCCATTACTAGGTCCAGCTACTGGGGAGGATATACTGGGGAGGAAGGGAAGGCTGGCACAGAGTTAACATGTCCTCCAGCCTTGCCCCCCAAGTAACTTACACCTGGTCTCTGTCTCTCTGGCCCCAGACATGCATATACAGGACAGAGTAGGGATACTGGGGGCCCACCCCTCTAACTCAGAAAGACCTCCGCCTGCCTTATCAAGACAGAGTCCACATTTAAGTCCAAGGGGAGACAGAGCAAAGAGAGGATTCAAAAGGGGCAGGGGGCAAACCAAGATGTCCCAAGCTTTGTGTTTTAGGAAGGAGAGAAGACTGGAAGGAAGAAGCAGGCAGCCCCCAGCATGGCTCACCCACCAGCCCCAGCCCAGCCCAGCCCAGCCCAGCCCAGCATCTCAACAGCCAGCACAGACTCCGGGGCCCTCGCACCTGAACTCGGACTGAGGATCCTTTCTGTCTAAGTCCTCGGAACCTGAAGAGGCCCAGGGCAAGACCCAGTCTCCAGCTCCAGTCCTGCAGGGCAGTCTGGCCAGGAGTCCCTCTGGCCAAGCCTCCTGGATCTGCCATCCCCTGCCTCCTTTTGTTCCTCAGATCTGGCATCATCCTCCCTTCTCAGGTGAACCCAACCATCACCATCATCACCCCAAATTGCCAAAACTAATTCCAGGCCCCACAAGCACAGTGATCACTGTCAGGGTGGTGGGTCTCTTGAGCACCCCCCCCCAAAAGTAACTGCAGCTACTACTACCCCTTCCTCTTTGGGGACACACCTCATCTCAGAAGGCCAACAGTGGAGGTATCAGATGGTCACCTCTTCCCCCAAAGGAGGCACCCCCACCTTCCCCTCTTCTCCCCCCAACAACCAGACTCCCAAATCAATTCCTTATCACCCAGCCAGTTCTCATCTTCCCCAGGGCCCCAGAGAAGGGTGGGGTAGGGAGGCAGCCTCCCTCAAGTTAAAAGGCAAGAGCAGACCCTGCCTCTATGAGATACAGATCCAGGATTAAAAACGGGGGGGCATCCACCCCAGACAGGAAGGAGGGTAGCTTTCATCTCTCTCTGGCCCCAGGGTGTCAGACGGTGGAGAGGGTGGGAACAAACGCAATAACGCCTCACGGGGGAGGGGGTGAGAATAATGGAAGAGAGAAGTAAGGTGGGCCCACAGACCCCCTCCTCACGCACGTAAGTCAAGGACACAAAATCAAGGATGCGTTCTTAGGTCTGGGTGGAAGCGCTGCGGGGTGGGCAGCGCCCCTCACCTCAGAGTACCAAGAAAGGAGTGTCCAGCGTAGAGGGGTCTGCATAGAATCCGGGTGCAGGGCTCAAATCGCTCTGCAACGCAACATGCGCCGCCTGGGAAGGGGCAAATCAGGAAGCCCCGGCGGGTCTCCGGGCCATTAGGGGGTGCGGGTCGCGGGGAGGCGGGCCCCTCCCTCACCTGCAGGGAACGCGCCCCTGCACGGGAGTGGCGGGGAGGGGCGCGCGCAATAACCCCGAGGCCCGGCTCCCGGGCTGGCGATGCTCCCGGGGGGCGCCGCCGGGCACCGGGAGCCGGGAGGAAGGAAGGGGGGCGCGGAGCTCGGCGCGCGCGCGGGGAGCCCGCGGGCAGCGACGGCAGGAGGAGGGGGCGCCGCCTCGCGTCGCGGGCACCCGGGGAAGATGGGATCCGGGGTGGTTCGGCGGGCTCACCCCCTGCGGCTCGAGCTCCGGCTTCGCGGGCGGCGGCGGCAGCAGCGGCGGCGGCAGCAGCGGCAGCGCCTCCTCGACGGCTCCTCCATCTTTGCGGCGGCTCCTCCGGCTCCGCTCGCCGCCGCCACCAACAACAACATTCGGAGACGTCACTCCCGTCACGTGACCCGACCCAGAGCTAAAAATAGACCCAGACCCCCCCCCCCCCCAACACCCTAGCTTCAGCCACCACCAACTCCTCCCCTCCCTCTCGGCCCTCCCCGCCGGGCGGGGCCAGCAGCGCCACCGGGATAGGTTCTTAAAGGGCCGACACCCAGCAAAGGGTTGGGCTGGGGAGGGGGTGGAAGGCAAGGGATCCGAGCCCTGCGAGAAGTGGTGGAAGGAGCGCTGCAGGGGACCCGGTCTGACTCCTGGGCCCCGGCCTTTGGGACGCTCGACTTTCCTCCCTGCGCTCCCTCGACTTCCTTTTCAAACCGTGGATGGTGCAATCGTTGCCTGCCTAAGCTTCTCCCTGACCCGTCCTCCCGCGGTGGGGGAGGGCAACTGGAGATGGGTTCCTAGGGACTGGGAGAGCCGCCGAGACCCCACCTAGGGGGCTAGGCTGGAGGCGGAGGGCTGGCACAGGTCCCGAATCCGCCAGATCCCACCGCCCACACTGCATCCTTGCCAGGGAAAGGAGAAACTGAGAAAGGGCAGAGTATGGCTGTAACAGTTCAAGGCCTTCAAAAGGAAGACTTCCGGTTCCCGACTTTGATGCCCTGCTCCTCTACAACTCCCCTTAGGACACTCTATGAGTATGTGTAATTAAACCTAGACAGTTTGTCAATGACCGGTAATTTCACTAACAAAAGTTTTTTCTGAGGAAATGGGAATTGCGTTCAAAAATAAGTACAGAGGTAAGAAGGTTCTTTATAATAATGTGAAAAGTTGGAAACAACCTAACTAGTCATCAGTAGGGAACTGGCGTACACCCACTAAGCAGCATACCATCCAGACATTAAAAATTATGCACGTCTATATTGACCTGAAAGATGCACACGATACACTGTTCTCTTGAAAATGATTGATCCGGGGATGCCTGGGTGGCTCAGTGGGTTGGGCGTCTGACTTCCGCTTGGGTCATGATCTCCTGGTTTGTGAGTTCCAGCACCCCCCCCCCCTCCCGGTGGGGCTCTGTGCTGACAGCTCGGGCCTGGAGCCTGCTTCGGATTCTGTGTCTTCTCCTCTCTCTGCCCCTCCCCTGCTCATGCTCTGTCTCTCTCTCAATAATAAATAAACGTTAAAAATTTTTTAAAAAGAAAAAAAAAGAAAATCATTGATCCAGCATTACAGAACTGTTTCATTATTGTACACGACAAGCTAGATCCATATGTCTGAATATGTATGCATATAAAAAAGCCTAAAATAATATATACCTAAATATTTACCTTTGCTTTCTTCATCTTTTTCTGTATAGCTGAAGTTTTTCTGTATATCTGATTTACTTAATCAGAAAAAGTAAATGACTGAAATAAATGTTTCTGCAATGAATGATAAAGGTTCTTCCTACAAAGTGTCTCAGGAATCAGTCCACTCTGACCCATCTCTAACCCCACCCCTTGGTCTAAAACAAATCATACCTCACCTGAAATACTAGCTGCCTCCATGACAGGTCCATTCCCTGCCTCCATCCCAGTGTTCTTCCAAAGCCAGGGTGACCCCTTCAGAACACACATCTAATAGAGGGAGGGCTTAAAACCTTTCCATTTTTGTCACTGAAATCTGTATCTGGCCCAGAAAAGTGGTTTCCAAACTTTGGGGTACCTACAAATTACCTTTTCCAGTGGGGATGGGACCACAAATATTATAAGTACCCCAGGGGATTTTGCTGCAGCCAGCTCTTTTTTCATACTTGGAGAAAAAAACAAACAGCCTAGAAGCTTCTACATGATCTGGTCCCTACCCACCTCACCTTTCTTCCTTTAGCTGGCTTTCTCTTATGTTCTTGAACCGTGTGCCCCTTGCTCCTCAGGACCTTTGCATACGCTATTTTTTTTTTTTTTTTAATTTCTGGAATGCTCCACTCCCTTCTTCTCTTTGCCTGACTAACTCTTACTCATCCATAGAACTCAATAAAATATCACTTCCTGAAAGTGGCCTTCTTTGGTTCTTAAGCTAAATTAATTCCCCTTGTTCTATATGCTTTAACTGACCCTGATAGCAACTTGCAAACATGTACCTATTTATGGCATTGTTGGTTCAGTGTCCGTGTCTTCCCCTAAACTGTAAGCTTCTTGAGTGCAGAAACCCTACATTTCCTCTCAGCACAGTGCCTGGAACAACAACAAAAAGACTTAATGAATATTTGTTGAGTGAAATGAATGAGTATTAAAAGATTAAGCTGGGGTGGCTGGATGCTCAGTCAGCTAAGCCATCAGATTCTTGATCTCTGCTCAGGTCGTGGTCTCACGGTTCATGAGACTGAGCCCCACATGGAGCTCTGCACTGACAGCTTGGAGCCTGCTTGGGATTCTCTCTCTCCCTCTCAAAGTAAATAAACATAAAAAAAATTGGGGCACCGGGGTGGCTCAGTCCATTAAGTGTTGGACTTCAGCTCAGGGCATGATCTTGCACCCCGTGAGTTCGAGCCCCACATCAGGCTCTGTGCTGACAGCTCGGAGCACGAAGCCTGCTTCGGATTCTGTGTCTCCCCCTCTCTCTCCCCTCCCCCACTCGATCTCTCAATCAATAAATGTTACAAAAATTAAAAAAAAAAAAAAACATTAAGCCAAAGGAAGCACATTCTGACTAGACAATGGACTCTAGGCAGAAAGGCACCCCCCCCCCCCCCCCCCCACCGCCCAGGTCATCCCCTGTGGCTCCAAGACAGGGATCCTCTTGCCTCCACCCCATAAAGATGGTGCCACCCAATTGCTCACTCTTTTGTGAGAAATTGATTACTCTTGATCAACCTTATGTTGTCTCTAGGGCGGTTGGATTGGGTTGGATTGGGTTGGGATTTTGCTTTCCCAGTGCATGTTTTGCCTACCCAAAAAGAGTATAAGCCACTTGAGAGAAGAGATAAGATCATATTTCTTTGTGCTTTCCCAGTACCTAGCACTTCACCCTGCACATAGCAGGTACTCAGTCAAGGCCTCGGGATACTGAAGACTCTAGAATTTCTTTTCTCAAGATCTCAGAACACGGGGAAAGAATCTCCCCATGTGGGATGATAGATGTCAATAACTGTCACAGAGCACCTTGGCTAGGCCCTTCCCATTCCAGAGACGAGGGGACTGAGGCACAGCAAAGCTGAGCTGACTCGCCCAACGTCACAGGGTTCACTCAGGCAAGAACTGGGATTCAAACTCAGGTCCGTCTGTCTCCCAAATACAAGGGACAGGGCCCGAAGGGGCTGGGCTCCCAGCACTCTAGGTGTCTCCTCCAGATGCCCTGAGATTATCACCTCTGTTCCCCAGGGGCCAAATACCCCAGGGGTTATAAGAATTCACCATGAGGCGCCCTGAGGAGCCCTCAGATTTCCCCTTCTCAGGTAAGCGGGGGTTAAATAATCCTGCACTCACTCTACATTATGTTTTTGAGTACCTGTGGTAGGTGCTGGGGATACAGAAATGAATCTGCCTTTAAGGAACTTAGAGTTCCTCACAGAAAATAAAACTGTCTTTTGTTATGAGTCCCTAGAGTAGGCCCTTGCTAAGACCATTCACCATGGAAACAGGGATCAGGGGTCTGTCTCAAATGCTGCCTCAGTTTCCCAATGTAGAAGGAGCCTGCAGACAGAACCTAGCAGATGATTAGGGAACTTCTGTCCCTGGGATCCAATAGTGAATTTGGCCCCTTGGTAGGAAGGAAATCAATCTTGGAGGAGAGCTGGACATTTAACCTATTAGCCTGACAGGTTGGCAGCGCTACTGGACTTTAAGCAGAAGCATCAGGGGAGAAGAATCAGGATGGCGAACAACGTTGCTAAGGACTATGGGAGTTGCAACTCCCATTTGGAATCATGAGAAATGCCCTGGCCAGTACCTGGACCAGGAGACAGAACAAGCTTCCTCCCCGATCAGTGGACACTCCTGAACTGATAGCACCCGTTGCTGCCACACCCCTCTGGCTCACCCGGGCCCAGGCCCTCCAAAGTTAGCATAACCTAGGGGCACCTGGTCGGCCGCTCAGTCAGTAAAGCAGATGACTTTTGATCTCAGGGTTGTGAGTTCAAGCCCCATGTTGGGTGTTGGGATTACTTAAAAATAAATTAAAAAAAATAATAATACAAATTTAAAAAGATAAGGTTAGCATTCCTGGGGAACAGACAGGGCACCCTTACCTCCAAACTCTCACCCAGAATTTCTTACGCAGTAGAAATCCTCAGATCCACAGACAGGATTCCAGAGGCTCTGGTCAGTTCCAGTCTATGGTGGCGGAGCACTTAAGTGGTCTTGCTGGCCTCCAAAGAGTGCCTGGGGTGGAAATAGTCCAATTGTGCCTAAATATAGCCTCCGGCAGAAAATAATATAGAACAAGGGAAAAGTGAGCTGATAAGCCCAAGCAATAGATATTTACTAGATATTTATCAAAGGAAATGTACATTCTGTAAGTCTTTTGTCAATTACCAAGGGTGATTTGTACATAAGGCACCTTGTTTCTATTCCATCCAGCAAGAACTTATTGAGCATATTGAAAGGTTATGAGGCTAACACAGTGCAAGGTACTGTGGGGACTGCACAAAAAAATAAGAAAACAGGACAGGAAGTGAGACAATCTGGGTCCTACAGCTCTATCCCGGTGTGTTGTTGGATGAGTCATTTTCCCTCTGGACCTTCGTGTCCTTATCTGGGAAACAGGACTTGGACTTCTGTTCTCTAAGGTCTCTTTCAGTTCTGACATTCTGTGAATTCCAAATTAGATGTGATGGCAGATGTGACCACATCCAGCATAAAGCTGGACTTCAAAGTTTGGGCTGGACCTTCATTCCCCGAGATGCTTTAAGTCCTGCCCTTGGGCTGTTTACAATGTGTTCTAGGGGCAGAAGAGTTTATTTCAGGGCAAACAATTCGTGTGCCCTGAGGCACAAAGCAAAGGCGTCACTGAGGACCGAGTTGTGCAGAATATAATGAAAACTGCCCCCAGGATGCCTGAGTTT